GATGCAATCATAAAAATGCTAGATCTGCTTTACACAGCATTGGAAAATAAGGAATATCCACTAGGAATTTTTATTGACCTAAGAAAAGCTTTTGACACAGTAAACCACGAAATCCTACTCCACAAACTTGACCACTACGGTATAAGAGGCCATGCGCTTGCTTATTTCAAATCTTACATTACTAATAGGTATCAGTACGTCACCATTAAAGACACAGCATCAGCAACACGGCCACTTGATACTGGAGTTCCGCAGGGAAGTGTCCTCTTGGTCCCCTGCTCTTCCTCATATACATCAATGACCTTCCAAACGTATCCCAACACCTGAAACCCATTCTCTTTGCTGATGACAACGACTTATGTCATCTCTCACCCTAATCTTGCCACCCTCAACACCATTGTGAATGAGGAGCTGATTAAAATATCGACTTGGATGACAGCCAATAAACTTACGCTTAACACTGACAAAACTTACTATATTATGTTTGGTAGCAGAGCAGGAGATGCACAAATTAACATTAAGATTGACAAACACTCTAATTACCAGAAATAATGGGGGAAAATTCCTAGGCTTATACCTTGACAACAACCTGAATTTCAGCACCCATATCCACCATATAGCCAAAAAAGTATCCAAAACGGTTGGGATCCTCTCCAAGATACGATACTACGTGCCGCAAAATGCCCTTCTCACACTATACCACTCACTTATTTATCCATACCTCACCTATGCTATTTGTGCTTGGGGATCAACTGCAGCAACACACCTAAAGCCAATAATAACCCAACAAAAAGCTGCAGTAAGAATAATCACTAAATCCCATCCCTGGCAGCACACCCCCCCACTCTTCAAAGATCTAAACTTACTCCCAGTTCAGTACATCCACACTTACTACTGTGCAATCTATATCTACAGGACCTTAAACTCTAATATCAACCTTGACCTAAAACGCTTTCTTGATAGTTGTGACAGAACCCACAGGCATAACACCAGAAACAAACATCTCTACGACATTCCCCGTGTCCGACTAAACCTTTACAAAAATTCAATGTATGTCAAAGGTCCTAAAATCTGGAATACCCTACCTGAGAACTTTAGAACTGCAGACACATTCATCACCTTCAAAACTACCATTAGAAAACATCTTATCTCCCTGATACACCCCGTCAACTAACTACAACGAATACCACCTGGTGGTTCACACTTACACTCGCTCACTCCATTTGACCATAAACAGAAATATTAATCTCAGTCTTAAAATAATGAATCCTGTGATACTCCAATACTGAAACTATATACTGTGCCAAAACAAAAGCATTCACATTGCTAAACTCACAAACTAGTATTTAGTCACTTAGCCATAATACCAACTTACCTCATAATTTGTAATATTTAACAATTAAGAATAAAACTAAGTATGCCCGAAATGCCTAGCCATGCTAGGTGTTCTAGTGGGACACTCTGTAATCACAATTTTACTACATGTAAACCAAACAATAACCAAATTTCTGTAAACTCAGCATTGTAATCCTTATAGAGAATAAACTTTGAATTTGAATTTGAATTTGAATTTGTACATACACTTGTATACCTTGTACATGTACTTGTATACCTTATACATGTACTTGTATACCTTGTACATATAACTTGTACATGTACCTTGTACATGTACTTGTATACCTTGTACATACACTACTTGTATAACCTTGTACATGTACTTGTATACCTTGTACATGTACTTGTATACCTTGTACATGTACTTGTATACCTTGTACATGTAACTGTATACCTTGTACATGTACTTGTATACCTTGTACATGTACTTGTATACCTTGTACATGTACTTGTATACCTTGTACATGTACTTGTATACCTTGTACATGTACTTGTATACCTTGTACATTACATTGTATACCTTGTACATGTACTTGTATACCTTGTACATGTACTTGTATACCTTGTACATGTACTTGTATACCTTGTACATCGAAAAAAAATACTTGTAGTATATAAGTATTATTATTAATTTATTATTTATTTTTTGTTATGAAACAATATTATAATTATTTATAATTGGTAATAATAATCATTGCATAATTATAAATTTATTAATTTAATAGAATATTTATTAAATAATTATAATGTTAATAATTACATTAACAATAAAATAATATTTTATTAAGAGGTAGGATTGTTATTTGATATTTGTAATTGTTATTTATAATTTCTTTATTATCACACTGGCCGATTCCCACCAAGGCAGGGTGGCCCACCAAGGCAGGGTGGCCCACCAAGGCAGGGTGGCCCACCAAGGCAGGGTGGCCCACCAAGGCAGGGTGGCCCACCAAGGCAGGGTGGCCCGAAAAAGAAAAACTTTCACCATCATTCACTCCATCACTGTCTTGCCAGAAGGGTGCTTTACACTACAGTTTTTAAACTGCAACATTAACACCCCTCCTTCAGAGTGCAGGCACTGTACTTCCCATCTCCAGGACTCAAGTCCGGCCTGCCGGTTTCCCTGAACCCCTTCATAAATGTTACTTTGCTCACACTCCAACAGCACGTCAAGTATTAAAAACCATTTGTCTCCATTCACCTATCAAACACGCTCACGCATGCCTGCTGGAAGTCCAAGCCCCTAGCACACAAAACCTCCTTTACCCCCCTTCCAACCTTTCCTAGGCCGACCCCTACCCCGCCTTCCTTCCACTACAGACTGATACACTCTTGAAGTCACTCTGTTTCGCTCCATTCTCTCTACGTGTCCGAACCACCTCAACAACCCTTCCTCAGCCCTCTGGACAACAGTTTTGGTAATCCCGCACCTCCTCCTAACTTCCAAACTACGAATTCTCTGCATTATATTCACACCACACATTGCCCTCAGACATGACATCTCCACTGCCTCCAGCCTTCTCCTCGCTGCAACATTCATCACCATGCTTCACACCCATATAAGAGCGTTGGTAAAACTATACTCTCATACATTCCCCTCGTTTGCCTCCAAGGACAAAGTTCTTTGTCTCACAGGGACTCCTAAGTGCATCCACTCACCCTTTTCCCCTCATCAATTCTATGATTCACCCTCATTTTCATAGATCTCATCCGCTGACACGTCACTCCCAAATATCCTGAATACATTCACCTCCTCCATATCTCTCACTCCATTCTGATATCCAATTCTTTCATCACCAATCTTTTTGTTATCCTCATACTTACTCTTTCTTCTTTGCATTTTTCTTCTTATTTATAATGTAAATTATAAATAATTATGAAAAAATAATACTTTTTAAAATATATAATTATTGGACTGTTTTAAAAATATAATAATTAATAGTAATAATAATAATAATAATATAAATTAGTAATAATAATATAATATAGTAATAAACAATAATAATAATAATAATAAATAAATAATAATAATAATAATAATAATAATAATAATAATAATGATAGGTGATAAGGAATTGATATTTAATAGAATGTTTTTTTTTTTTTTTATTATACACCGGCGATTCCAACAAAGGCAGGGTGGACCAAGAAAAGAAAAACTGTCGCCAGCATTCACTCCATCACTGTCTTGCCAGAAAGGGTGCTTTTACACTACAGTTTTTAAAACTGCAACATTAACACCCCTCCTTCAGAGTGCAGGGCACTGTTACTTACCATCTCCAGGACTCAAGTCCGGGCCTGCCGGTTTCCCTGAATCCCTTCATAAGTTGTTACTTTGCTCACACTCCACAGCACGTCATGTATTAAAAACCATTTGTCTCCATTCACTCCTATCAACACGCTTCATGCATGCTTGCCTGGAAGTCCAAAGCCCTCGCACACAAAACCTCTTTACCCCCTCCTCCAACCCTTCCTAGCGACCCCTTACCCCGCCTTCCTTACCCACTACAGACTGATACACTCTTGAAGTCATTTGTATTCTGCTCCATTCTCTCTACATGTCCGACCACTCAAACAAACCCTTCCTCAAGCCCTCTGGACAAACAGTTTTGGTAATCCCGCACTCCTCCTAACTTCCAAACTACGAATTCTGCATATATTCACACCACCACCTTGCCCTCAGACATGAATCTCCATGCCTCCCTGCCTTCTCCTCGCTGCACATTCATCACCCACGCTTCACACCCTTATAAGAGCGTTGGTAAAACTATTACTCTCATACATTCCCTCTTGCCTCCAAGAAAAGTTCTTATGTCTCCACAGACTCCTAAGTCCCACTCACTCTTTTTCCCTCATCAATTCTATGATTCACATCATCTTTTCATAGACCCATCCGCAGACACGTCTCACTCCCAAATATCTGAATACGTTCGCCTCCTCCTTTTACTCTCTCCCTCAATCTTGTATTCAATCTTTCATCACCTAATCTTTTTGTTATCCTCATAACCTTACTCTTTCCTGTATTCAACTTTAAATTTTTTCTTTTGCACACCCTACCAAATTCATCCACCAATCTCTGCAACTTCTTTCAGAATCTCCAAGAGCACAGTGTCATCAGCAAAGAGCTGCTGTGACAACTCCACACTTTGTGAGTGATTCTTTATCTTTATCCCCCTCCCCCCCGCCCCATCTTGCCAAGACCCTCGCCATTTACTTCTCTTACAACCCCATCTATAAATATATTAAACAACCACGGTGACATCACACATCCTTGTCTAAGGCCTACTTTTACTGGGAAAAAATTTCCCTCTTTCCTACATACTCTAACTTGAGCCTCACTATCCTCGTAAAAAACTCTTCACTGCTTTCAGTAACCTACCTCCTACACCATACACTTGCAACATCTGCCACATTGCCCCCCTATCCACCCTGTCATAAATGTATTACCTATTATAAATAATTATGAATTATTATTTATAAAAGGTAATACTACTACTACTACTAATAATAATGACAATAATAATTATAATAATATAAAAATAAAGTAATAATATAATAATGATAATAATAATTGAGATGTAGAGTGATGATGTTTGTTTGTGTAGGTGAGCGAGGTGTTGGAGGCGCTGGATCACTCCTCCACTCTGGTATTTCTTGACCTGGCCTGGCCTGGATCACTGCCCCAGCCTGGATCACTGACCCAGCCTGGATCACTGCCCCAGCCTGGATCACTGCCCCAGCCTGGATCACTGCCCCAGCCTGGATCAATGCACAGCACTGGATCACTGACCCAGCCTGGATCTCTGTGCCCCAGCCTGGGATCAAGTCCCAGCCGGGATCACTGACCCAGCTGGTATCACTGCCCAGGCCTGGATCACTGGCTGGAGCAACAGGATCCACTTCCAGCTGGGTGGTAAAACATACACTGGGCAGACCAGTTGTGTTGTTGTGTACTGGACACACTCAGGCTCATCCTACATCAAACACTAAACTGTTGGAGGTGGAGGGACAAGGGAGGACCAGGGGAGTTTGTGTTGGGTGGAGACTCCAGTATAATAATGGTAAGGTGAGGCGCACCATGTTGTCTCACCAGGATGTTCACCAGTACCAGGAGTCAGGCAGTGCTGGTGATGTGGGGTCAACATGGTGGCTGGGGGATGTCACCTAGAATCCTACATTCGCCCAGTTTACCATCACCACCACGGACCACCCAGGTGGTCGCTGTTGTCGGTTGTTCTTTGGTAAAAGTTGTGAAGGGGTCTGATGTAATGGAGAGCAGCAGCAAACACAGTGGACTTTAATGAGGTGACTTTGCGTGGACTGTGGTGTTGTGTTTGGACACCTTAGTTCACGTACCATCATTACTGTGTCTCATCCAACTACGTGGTGTTGTGTTGACACACTAGTTCACTGTACCATCACTACTGTGTCACCATCAATACTGTGGAGTTGTGTTGACACTCTAGTTCACGTACTATACTACTGTCACATCACTACTGTGGTGTTGTGTTGACACACTAGTTAACGTACCATCACTACTGGTCTCCATCACTACTGTGTGTTGTGTTGACACTCTAGTTCACTGTACTATCATATACTGTCACCATCACTACTGTGGTGTTGTGTTACACTCTTGTTCACGTACCTTCACTTCGTGTCACCATCACTACTGTGGTGTTGTGTTGACACTCTAGTTCACTGTACTATCACTTACTGTCACCATCACTACTTGTGGTGTTGTGTTGACACTAGTTCACTGTACCATCACTACCTGTGTCACCTTCACTGCTGTGGTGGTGTGTTGACACCTCTCGTTCACTGTACATCACTATGTGTCACAATCACTACGTGTGGTGTTGTGTTGGACATAGTTCACTGTACTGTCACTACTGGTGTCACCTCACCACTCTGGTGTTGTTGTTGACACTCTAGTTCAATGTACCATCACTTCTGGTCACAATCAATACTGTGGTGTTGTGTTGTCACTCTAGTTCATGTACCATCACTACTGTGTGACTATTCACTATGTGGTGTTGTGTTGACACTCTAGTCACTGTACACATCAATACATGTCACCATCACTACTGGGTGTTGTCGTTCGGTCACTAGTTCACTGTACCATCACTAACTGTGTCACCTTCACTGCTGTGGTGTTGTGTGACACTCTAGTTCACTGTACCATCACTACTGTGGTTGTTGTGTTGGACACTAGTTCACTGTTACTTTCACTCTGTGTCACCATTCACAACAATGGTGTTGTGTTGACACTCTAGTTCACTGTACCATCACTACTGTGTCACCATCACTACTGTGGTGTTGTGTTGACACTCTAGTTCACTGTACCATCACTACTGTGGTGTTGTGTTGACTCTCTAGTTCATTGTACCATCACTACTGTTTCACCATCACTACTGTGGTGTTGTGTTGACACACTATTTCACTGTACCATCACTACTGTGGTGTTGTGTTGACACTCTAGTTCACTGTACCATCACTACTGTGGTGTTGTGTTGACACTAGTTCACTGTACTCATCTGTGGATGTTTGTTGACACTCTAGTTCCTGTTCCATCATCTGTGGTGTTGTGTTGACACTCTAGTTCACTGTACCATCACTACTGTGTCACCATCACTACTGTGGTGTTGTGTTGACACTCTAGTTCACTGTACCATCACTACTGTGGTGTTGTGTTGACACTCTAGTTCACTGTACCATCACTACTGTGTCACCATCACTACTTTGGTGATGTTGCGTTGTTGACTCCTAGTTCACTGTACATGGTACACTACTTGTGTCACCATTCACTACTGTGTTGTTGTGTTGACACTCTAGTCACTGTTACCATTCACTACTGTTGGTGTTGTGTTGTCACTCTAGTTCACGTACCAATCACTTACTGTGTCACCATCACACTGCTTATGCTGGCGTTGTGTGACACTCTAGTTCACTGTACCATCACTACTGTTTCACCATCACTACTGTGGTGTTGTGTTGACACTCTATTTCACTGTACCATCACTACTGTGTCACCATCACTACTGTGGTGTTGTGTTGACACTCTAGTTCACTGTACCATCACTACTGTGTCACCATCCATCTAATGTGGTGTTGTTGTTGACAACTCTAGTTTACTGTAACATCATACTGTGTCACCATCACTACTGTGGTGTTGTGTTGACACTCTAGTTCACTGTACCATCACTACTGTGGTGTTGTGTTGACACTCTAGTTCACTGTACCATCACTACTGTGGTGTTGTGTTGACACTCTAGTTCACTGTACCATCACTACTGTGTCACCATCATTACTGTGTCACAATCACTACTGTGGTGTTGTGTTGACACTCTAGTTCACTGTACCATCACTACTGTGGTGTTGTGTTGACACTCTAGTTCACTGTTCCATCCACTACTGTTTCCCCCAATATGTCCACAATCACTACTTGTGGTGTTGTGTAGACACTCTATTCACTGTACCATCACTACTGTGGTGTTGAGTTGACCCTCTAGTTCATATTAGTACCTTCACTACTGTGTCACCATCACTACTGTGTTGTGTTGACACTCTAGTTCACTGTACCATCACTACTGTGTCACCATCACTACTGTGGTGTTGTGCTGACACTCTAGTTCACTGTACCATCACTACTGTGGTGTTGTGTTGACACTCTAGTTCCACTGTACCATCACTTACTGTGTCACCATCACTACTGTGTTGATGTTCACACTCTAGTTCTACTGTACCATCACTACTTGTGATGTTGTGTTGACACTCTAGTTCACTGTACCAATACTGTCACCATCATACTGTCGGTGTTGTGTTGACACTATTAGTTCACTGCTACCATCTCTACTGTGTCACCTACTGTGGTGTTGTGTTGACACTCTAGTTCACTTCCCATCATACTGTGTCACCATCCACTACTGTGGTGTTATGTGTTGACACTCTAGTTCACTGTACCATACCCTACTTGTGACACCATCATATTGTGGTGTGGTGTTGGCACTCTAGTTACACTGTACCTCATACTGTATCACCATCATTACTGTGGTTTGTGTTGACTCTCCTAGTTAACTGTACACACTATTGTGTCTCAATCACTACTGTGGTGTTGTGTGCTGACACTCTTGTTCTCTGTACCCTTCACTACTGTGCCACCATTCATACTGGGGTTGTGTGACACTCTATGTTCCACTGTACCATCACTACTGTGTCACCTTCTCTAATGTGGTTGTTGTGTTGACACTCTAGTTTCACTGTACCATCCACTTTGTGTCACCATCACTACTGTGGTGTTGTGTTGATCACTTAGTTACTGTACCATCACTACTGTGTCACCATCCCTACTGTGGTGTTGTGTTGGCACTCTAGTTTACTATACCATCACTACTGTGGTGTGTTGACACTCTAGTTCACTGTACCATCACTACTGTGTCACCATCACTACTGTGGTGTTGTGTTGACACTCTAGTTCACTGTACCATCACTACTGTGGTGTTGTGTTGACACTCTATTTCACTGTACCATCACTACTGTCCTCTGTCACCATCACTACTGTGGTGTTGTGTTGACACTCTAGTTCACTGTACCATCACTACTGTGTCACCATCACTACTGTGGTGTTGTGTTGACACTCTAGTTCTCTGTACCATCACTACTGTGTCACCATCACTACTGTGGTGTTTTGTTGACACTCTAGTTCACTGTACCATCACTACTGTGTCACCATCACTACTGTGGTGTTGTGTTGAGACTAGTTCACTCTACCATCATTACTGTGGTGTTGTGTTGACACTCTACTTCACTGTACCATCACTACTGTGGTGTTGGCTTGACACTCTACTTCACTGTACCATCACTACTGTGGTGTTGTTGACACACTAGTTCACTGTACCATCACTACTGTGTCAGTATCACTTCTGTGGTGTTGTGCTGACACTCTAGTTCACTGTACCATCACTACTGTGGTGTTGTTTTGACACTCTAGTTCACTGTACCATCAACTTTCTGTGGTGGTGACACCTAGTTTACTGTACCATCACTACTGTGTCACCATCACTACTGTGGTGTTGTGTTGACACTCTAGTTCACTGTACCATTACTACTGTCACCATCACTAAAGTGGTGTTGTGCTGACACTCTAGTTCACTGTACCATCACTACTGTGTCACCAACACTACTGTGGTGTTGTGTTGACACTAGTGCACTCGTACCATCACTACTGTCACCATCAACTGCTGTGGTGTTGTGTGAACAATCTAGTTCACTATGTACAAACTCTATGTGTCACCAATCACTACTGTGGTGTTGTGGTTGACACTCTAGGTCACTGTACCATCACTACTGTGTCACATTCACTATGTGGTGTCGTTGTTGACACTCTAGTTCACTGTACTATCATCTACTGTGTCACAATCACTACTGTGGTGTTGTGTGTTGACACTCTAGTCACTGTACTCACTACTGTGTCACCATCACTACTGTGGTGTTGTGTTGAACTCTAGTTCACTTGTACCATCACTCTGTGACACCATCACTACTGTGGTGTTTGTGTTGGCACACTCTAGTTCACTGTACCATTCATTACTGTGTCACCATCACTACTGTGGTGTTGTGTTGGACACTTAGTTCACTCTACCATCACTACTGTCACATCAACTACTGTGGTGTTGTGTTGACATAGTTCCACTGTACCATCCACTACTGTGTCACCAATCACTACTGGGGTGTTGTGTTGACCACTCTAGTTCCTGTACCATCACTACTGTGTGTTGTGTTGAAACTCTAGTTCACTGTTCCATCACTACCTGTGTACACCATCATACTGTGTTGTTGTGTTGGACAC